TATTAATATCCTTACATCGTTTAAAGTACCACACAAGTATCTACGAGCAGCAGATAACATTTAACGCAAAGTAAACGTAATAATTTATTATTCCAATTATATACACGCAAGTTTGTACTCAAGATAACACGTTACGATAAGAATAAAGTTATTGAAAATTGAACGCACTCGGTCTTATTAATTTTCCTTCCATTTACCACTTCCCCTGCAAAAGATTGCCACAATGTTATAAGAAAAACAACCACGCGCGTTACGCCGAACAGAAAGTGACCGGCGATCCATTAAAATCGCGTTGCAATTAAATTCAAGAGTAAATCAGGAAATTGGAGGCCAACGATTCACAACGTAGCGCGTCCGTTTGCAGTGGACAAGGCTGGATCAACGATCGATCGCGATTTTACCGACAACCGCGTAACCGGTCACCAGGGACCCGGATTATTGTTGCTTTCGTGCACGATCGCCAGGCGGAGGCACCTCCGGTCGTTTTCCCGCTGATAACGGATCTACAGGTTATTGATCTATAATCGACCAGGTTGTCCAGTGCCCTGACTTCGCGTCAATCTCGATCGCGAAGTGTCGACGAAACGAAGCGAAAATTTCGCAAGCTATTACAGAGTTACTTGCGATAAGGTTTGTGCAACTATGACTTTACGCGTTCTTTTTTTACGAATCCGCGAAATGTCGCCCGGTGTAAACGGCGCACGCGGGATCGATGACCCGTAAAACTGTCGCCTCGGTTTTAATTCGATCGCGAATGAAAGGAAACCAGTTTTTATTCCCGTTCGCGTAGAACTGACGTAGAATTTTCTCCAGACGCGTCCGAAAATACGGTCGTCGATGGCTCGCGTGCAATTACGGCGATTGCGCCACAGCCGCCGCGACGATCGTGTCGATCGTTACTTATATTATCTAATTGGATAAGCGTATCCGGTCCATAAGCGATTTAATTCTCTCTCGTGCTGTTCCGTTTCCCTTTCACGTTGAGTTTACCGCACGGAAGAACTGTTATTACGATCAAACGCCTCGATTTAGCGGGCCAATTAGGAGGAGGTATTTGCTACAGATATTTGAAATAAATCTCTGAAGAAGCCATGCATTCGAAAGGGGTAAACGGATTCAATCAAGAAAGATTATACAGCCACGATTCAGGTTGTTGCAATATACTGACTTTCTTTGCGTAAAGTTTTGTTCAAAGAGAATGTTTCCTCTTTCTGCGAGTTTGCGGTAAGCGGTGACCATATTAATAACGTCGCGAAACGATGCTCAGAGGCAAACGTCCTGATAGCGGCCACCTATTCGAGCAATAGAAAGTCCGTTACTGTCGTGCGCTTCACTCTTTTCTCTCTGGTCTGTGGTGTGCTCGGTGAAGCGACTCTAAGTTGCTTAAAAATCTATATTTAGCGGAGAGCAACGGGATGATTTTCTGATCGTGAAAGCCAGCTAATTGCCGTTGTCGTTACACATCGTTACGACGTCGTTTGCTAGCGCACAACGCGAAATAGGAAGGAAACGTTCGACTCGACCGAGAATACTGAAGTTACGACGCGAAGTTTCCAACTGCAGAAAACGTGTATCGATGTTCAGTTACCATTATTTTCGCCAAAAACGAGGCGCAATTAGTCGTTTATCGCCGACAAATTTGACACGGTTTCGCAACGATGCAGAAGGGGACGAAGTGAAAGGCCTTCTCTCGACTTTCTGCGGGAACCATGCGAAATTCGAGATCGAAACCACGAAGTTCGGACGATTTGGGGAGGAATGGATTCCAAGTTAAATTTCGACGCACAGCTTTCACGATATTTCATACAATTAATATTTAATTCATGAGGACGTATTTTCGGCAGAAGGCAAACACAGAGTGGCGTTTAGAATTTCAACGAACTTGCGTGGCCATAAATTGCGAACGAACGAAGATTCGCTTGGGCAACGGGCCTTCCCAAAAACACGACGTCCTTCCGTACGGGTCGTGCTCATATTTCGCGGTGATCGCTGGCAAAATTATGGTCCCGACGAATGTCGAAAAGCTGCATCGCGAACTTTCCACTCGACGGTAGCTGTACTGGGTCGTTCGGAAAGTTTCCGAGAGATCGGCGGCCGTTAAACTGCGCGCGAGCGATTGAAATTCTATCGGGTAACGCGACCTTGAAAGGATCTACACCTTAAAAGGAGGCCGACCGGCATCTGGTGCGATCGTTATGGCACGATAGAGTCGCTTGAGGCTGGTCAGTAAACCGATCTAACGGTGTACGTTGTAAGGCAACTCGAGTCCACGATAGCTTGCGAAACCTGTTCGACCGAGGATGATCCACGAGATACCGTAATCGAACCTCCGGACTCGTTTCCTCGCTGGTCATCCACCGATCCACCAGATATCTATCGATCGTTCCCCGTAGCTCGCGCAACTCCCTTCCTCTTCTTTGTTTTTTCATATTTTTATACGTTTTATCGTGCTTCGATGCAACAAGATTTTTAGCCATTAAAATTCGCTCGTTTAAAAATCAGTTCTACGATTTGTAATCGAATTATAAGTATCAATATCAATGTTGCTTTATTCTGTGGGCATTTTTGTATTAAAAATGTGGAAAACGTGGGTGGATTCTACGACTGTTCTGCCCCCTTTCCAGCTTGTGGGTCGGTCTGTCTAGGTCGGCTGGCTCGAGATACTTCTACTTGGATTTTTAATTCGAGAAACTTCGTCACGGATGAAGCCAACGTTAACTTCATTCGAGGTAAGTGGCATTAAACACGACCCAGAAGCGATATCTTCCAGATTCCAGTTAGATCTAGGCGAAGCGAACCTGCTGCAAGGCGGACCCGACGTATTCTCGAGCAAAACCGTTAATTTGCTTGGAGAACCCATGCATGATCGACTTAATAAACACCAGCAAACCAGCGTGGTAACTTTCATCGGCGTGGGAGCGCCTTAAACTTGTCCTTGCTTTGTTCCTTACTGGAAACAGCCAACGATCGTAGCGAGAGATCGTTCACCGACCGTCGAGCGCATTGTCTGACGTTTCAAGATCGCGATCACGGCTACGACCAGCAAGGGATCGCCCTACTGCCTCTATCGATCGTTCGTTTCTAGATCTCCGCGTCTCTAGATTCTTGCGCTCTAACTGTGCGCTTCAAGAGGCCAGAAAACGATTTTTAAAAAATCCGGAAATGGCTACCGCGATCTCTGACTGGTACAAAATTTTTTCTCGGAAATCGATGAATCGATTCGTTCGCGTTAAGAGAAATTTAAGTATTGTTCCGCGGCCAAGAGACGTTGGCGAGATATCACTCGAGTGTAAACTGCATTTTTGCGATGCATCGTCGTGCTTCTTGACTCGCGGAACAGTACGACCGTAAAAAGACGGCGACATTGTTTCAGAACTTTCACGGTATTCGAAACGTGAACGTATAGTCATCGTCTTATTGCAAACGTTATAACAAATTTGATAGTTAAATTGCGAAATGCGGATTCAGGATCTGCATAAGAAAGTCCAGTCGTAGAGCAATCGATACGACCATTAAAGATCTTAAGTGAAAAAGAGCAACGATCAACGTCTTCTGTATTTTAATACGTATTATTAATGACTAATTTGCGCCGCGTAAACTGGCACAATATCTCATTTAACGTCTTAACCCCGCATTCTTCCGCGAGTAATTTGAATATTTTAACTGCAGCGAATAATTATCATAGTCACTTGCGATATAATTACGCTCAGTATCCACGATGTTCGATTAATCATTTAGTAATTTAATCGTTAATAATATCGTAAAACTCCGTGTAAGGCATGGCTGTTACCGCTCGGTGCTCCTCTTTCGAAACGAGAGATTAGTGTTATTCTACAATTAGATTTAGTCTCAGCGAACGTAGCATCGATCCGGATCGCATTTACATGGATTTATCATTCGATGACGCCATCAATTTCTTATATAACCATCCCGATTGCGCTATCAATATCTAAAATGCATGCAATTAGCTTAACTTTCCATCGATAGTTCTCTGCGCAATTTAAAATTCCTATTGGGGAGAAGAAATTGGCACACCGTGGATGGTCGAATATTAGCAACTATTTGCTGGTTAAACAACTGCAATGCAAACGTAAGCTCTTGTACAAGTTGAATTAATTAACACTCGTACGCGATACTGGAGGCAGGATGTTTCGTAATATCTGAATTCGGTGAACCCTTCTTTTTCAATTCCAAGGGACTTCTGAACGCCTTTTCAAGGAAAGTAGCCCGCAATACGCAGTTCCAACATGGCATACAGTTAGTTTACGTAACTTGCATCGAAGACAAACGGCAGGTTCCTCGATACAATGTATTTAAAGAAGTTCAGAACGTAACGTATGTCATCTTCCTGAAATCGCAGTCTAATGGAAGGATTTCGTGGGGTTAATCGCGAAAGTCGATTAGTAAATCGGCGTATTGCGTGTCCCGTACCGAGTGTCCTGGGCCGTTTCCACACGTTCGCCAAGATTAGGCGGTTCTGCGATCGTTGCGAAAGGCTGTCGTCGGGTGCACGAACCCCGAGGCGGACCTCCTACGAGTAATTGCACCCTCGAGCGGCCAGCGGCGAGCGCAACGACGGAAGTGAACGCACTTGCAGCGGCGCGTTGCACTGTCATTAGGAATGCCAATATCCCGATCGAGGTGGACGATGCACGGGAAAAGTGCACGCTTCCACGATCAGGAAGGAAAGGGACGATCGATGGCACGTCCACTATAAAACAATCGCTTTTTCCACGGATCCTCTCAGTTTCTACCGTCGCGTTTCACGATCGATTTTTTCATTCTATTATTTTCCCAGTCGTCAAGTTCCGTTCCCGTTCGCGAACAATGGGGAACACGCGGCCGGTTCCGGAAACGCAGTGATCGAGGCGCACGGCGCGCCCGTTGTGCGGAAATGAATTCGTCGAACGAGTTCGCGACGATCGATAGCGACCGCCTGTACTTTAGTCGCCGTTAGAGAGATCGATATTTGTTCCGGACGAAAGTGGAAACCGTTCAGAATGTTGTTTTTACTGTCGAGGGGGTCGCCGAGGTCGTTTCCGGTCCTCGCGCTCCTGGCCACCAATCTGGTGATCTCGATGCCCGCGCCACCCACGAAACGATCGCCCGGGGACGCCTCCGGCGACGGGAAGAACGGGTTCTCCAACGCCCCGAAGGTCCTGGAGATCCAGCTGCCGTTGAAGATCGCGACCAAGGACGATCTGGTGGCCTGGGCGAAGTACGTGATGGGACTGATGGCGTCCAAGATAAACATCACGTTGGCCGCGGTGAAGGAGACGCCAAAGGCCTCCGAGAATGTCAGAAATCCCAGCAACGTTAAGCAGTCGCGAAACAATTCGGGATTCAGGGTCGTTGAGAACGCCAAGCAATCGGGGAACACGCGAGTATACGCCACCGCGATGAACATGGGGAACTCCAGGTACGCGGAGAACGTTAGAAATTACGGGGACCCGAGAAACTTGGAGCGCAACATGAACTTCGGGACCGTAAGGCCCGCGGAAAATGGTCGCCAACCTGACAACACCAGGGTTCCTCCTAGACTGACGAATTTCTCTACGCCTAAGGAGAAGCTGATCGCAATTTCGAATTTGCCCAACGCGGCGAACAACGGGCTGGGAAATCGACAGCCTTTTTCGACCTTCGCGACTCTCGGGGTAGCGGATACTACGATTCACAGCCCTCTAGCGATAACCGCGAATATTAATGTTCCGAGGCCCAGGTTCAAGGAGCAGGACTTGAAGGAAGCCTTCGAGGCAGCGAACTCGTTGAAAGTGGGAGGCGCGGAGCACCTGTTCGTCCCATCGTTCCCCGATTTCGGGCCTGTCTTGGACATAAAGGGCAACGACATCTTCAAGAACTTCAACACGGTCTCCCCGCCCCCGCGGACGTACCTTCCTGTGACCACCATCGACAGCATCAAGTTCCCCAACGATCCGTTCGTTACGAGGTACTTCTTCGACGGTGTCGAGAGGAACATCTCCAACAATATCGGCCTTCAGCCCTCGGACGTCGTGTTCACCACTCTGAGACCATTGATCTTCAACGACGAGATCCCGTTGCCGGTGAAGAGCGTGGATCTGACCAGCCAGAAGAACGTATCGAGCCCGTTGAAGCCGCTCTTCAGGCTCCCCTTCGAGGCGGTGATCACGATCACGCGCGAGGATACCAGCGAACCGACCACCCTGAAGACGGAGAAGGACAAATACTACGCGGTGCCCACCAGGAATCCCCCTGATCAGTTCCCGCCCTATTTCGACACGAATTACACGATCACGAACGAGTCGGGACAGATCAACGTGGTGTTCGATGATGGAAGTCAGGTGACGGAATCGTTGAACAGGAACGAAAAGAAGAAGCAAGAGAAGAAGAAGAAGGAGAGCTCGAGCAAGCAACCGCAGAAGACAGAGAAGACTCCGAAACGACCGTCGACGATCAGCAGGCTCATCAAGGCTTTCCTGACGCTCAGGAAGAACGACACCTTGCCCGTGGACCTGACACCACCCCCGCTCAAGCAACAGAAGGTCACCACTCAGAAGTTCACCACCCCCCAAAGGACGCAGACTTACCCCGAACGACCGGTAAGTTCGCTCGTTAGTCCGGTCGAATTAGAAACGCCCAAATCAGGGTGATGTATATAGGCCACCCCTGGAAAAATCATTTTTGTATGAAAAATTCAGTACGGATGGAACTTTGAGCGTTAATAACTTTTTAACGAAGCCTCCATCAACAAATTGGTATTCTTGATTTTCGTCCTATTTTGGCCTCTATAATCTCCAATTACAATTATTCCCAGGGGTGGTCGAACACTCTGTGTAACTTTTAGGCGAGTTTCATTAGCGTTACAAGCGTTAATTATTTAATTTTGCCTTCGAAATGTCCGGTGTTCGCGAAGAAAGTGCTACTTTTGCAAACTTTCGATACGCACGGTCGGTCGTATGTTTCGAGAACCTCAAAATTTGAATACCTTTCCCGTGAAAAGGCTAATTCAACTGGACTGCGCAGCGAGTAAAAGTAGTCTGGGTGCGATCAGACACGGACAACCGCAAATTGCGACGATTAAAGCGGAGAAAGGAACGCGCGTGTCAAAGTAGTCCGGTGTAGAGAGAAGCACGAACAGAACGAGAACCGTCATTTAAGCTAATTAGGGCGGTGAAAGGAGCGCCGCGAACAAATGCGATTAAAAGAAATTAACGGTTAAGAAGCTAGCCGAATACCGCGGATATCGACGCCATTTTTACGGCTGGATATTTCGCGCGCCCGTGTTCGATAAAGTTGAAAGTGCCTCGTGCGTGTATAGGACTCGAAAAATCGAAGTGCAGAGAATGTGAATTATTTTGTGGCGGCAAGGTTCGCAGTGACGTTTTGCAACCCGAAAAATATATCGTCGCGAATTTTTCTGCTCGCTCGACCGAATCTGCACGCCCCCCGAGGGATCGGTGACTTCGTTTCCGTTGGTCAGCGAACCGTGCGTGGAAACGCACGAAACGTACGCTCGATGGAAACTTATTGAAGTCGATTGTGTTTATTTCAGTCCTCTTCGCGACAGGGAAATCGTAATCGGACGATTCTGGCGCAACGGCTCGAGGTACGTTTGCTTTCGACCATAGTTCTACTAACGACAATCCCTTAGGCGATTTCTTTATTCGGGGAAATCTGAATTTATAGGACGACGACGACGACGACGACAGCGGCAGCGAGAAGACCAGCGACGAAGACGGCGACGACGGCGATGCGAATGGCGGCGACGACGACGACGACAATGGCGGGGACAACAAAAACGAGTCCAAAGAGGACAGCGCCGACGAGAGCGGCAGTTCGGAGTCCGAGTCCTCGGAGGAGGAGGAACCGGGTGGTTCCGTTCAAGCCGTGATCTCTTTGCTTCAACTCGCCGCTCCGATCTTGGACGATCTCAGCGACGTAAGATCGTTGATCGCGCGATCGTATCTCTAATACTCGAACATTATAAACGTTTAACGCTTTTCCTTCAGCCGGAATCCGACGCAGATATCCGCGACGTGCTCCAGGCTGGTCTTCCGCTTCTGGAAGAGCTGTCGGAGGTAAAACTTGAAATCCCCGGAAAGCGACGAACCGACGTCGAGGTGAAACGTTCGTGTTTTTAGGGAGACGGAGAGAATCCTGGCGTCGATATCCCTGGACTGTTGGTGCCCATCTTGCTGCAGCTCAGCGCAGTGAGTTGCCAAGCGATTTCTCAGCGCGGGAGGACAAGGTAATGATCGAAACAAAGACAGTAAGGAGATCTGTTTCAGGGCCCGGAAGGACGCAGGGACTCTGCAGCGATTCTGACACCGCTCCTCCAACTGAGCGCGCCGTTGATCGGGCCCCTCTCAGGCCCCCTGATCGTTCCGCTGAGCCACCAGAGCAGCCACGTAAATATAACTCTTTTTAGCAATCGAGGATTACGCTCACGATCGTTAATGGCGGAGGCTAACGCGTGAATTTCAGCCCCCTGGACAAGGTGGATCGTCCGTGGGCGCCCTGGTAAAAACATTCCTTGGCCCCCTGCTCGAGGTAATAATTACAACTAACGTAGTCTCTTCGAAAGCGATTCTCGAGCACGTAATCGTCATCGTCCGTCTTTATTTTCAGCCGCCCGCGCCTGGGAAGATGCCGCCGCTGACTAACCTGGTCGCCGGAGTCGTCTCTAGTCTTAGCAAAGTACGCATTGACCTTTCTGTTAACCGATCGTTGTCTTTCACCAATAAATTGATCGTTTCACCAATAAACCAGTCTCGTATATACCACCGTGAACCAACGTCTCGACTTAAAGTCTCTTCTAATTCCTATACAAGGTCTCTGATCGAGTTTCTATGGGTTAAACTGAACCCTGAGCTCTTTGTACCAGAGTTAACCATCAACTGGTGACGTCAATTTGATGTATTTTAAAGTACCATATTATCTTCGTCAAAATTGGCTCGAACACATCACTTTGAAGTCGCCAAATGAGGGTTAACGACGCCAAAACACAAAGTGGCTGCAATTTAATACCGAATATCAAACGTTCCGATTATCCAAGAACCCTCGTTAATGCTTCTCTTATTTCTGGACGTATTCCAGAACGGCAAAGGCAAATCGGACATAACGAGCCTCGTGAAGGCGGTGGTCGCAGGATCGGTCGCCGGGACCAGCGCAGGATCCAGCGGCGGCCAAAGGGACACCTACGCAGCCCCCACGAACTATGGCGGCGACTCTTATCGTCCTGTGAGTATGGCACCTTCGACGATCCAGTCTCCTTCGAAACGCACACGTTTCTTTTCCTACTTTTCTCCTGCACTCGCATGACTCGTAACAAATCGAAGATCCCTCTCTCATAACAATGTACTTGTCAACTTTCCAGCAAGGTGGGGAGCCGGAAAACCCACTCGCCATGGTCGGTTCCTCGATCAAAGCTATCTTTAACGCAATATTAAAGCTGGTTGCCTCTTTGATAACCTCATTTTCGGGTCTCCTGGCTGCTTCCTCGAACAGTTCGCAGGAACCGGAAAAACCCGTGTACGGTCCACCCCGCCCCTCTTATGGCACGCCAGCCTCTTACGAGACCCCTCCGCGTCTGACCCAAACCGGAAGCACTGGTACGCCGCAGCGACGATCCAGGCAAAGAGTGACAACCTTTTAGATTCGTCTTTCATTACTGAAAGCTAATTGAAACGTTTCAAGGGGGTAGTTTAGACGAATTCTGACGTCTGAAAACACCATAGACCATCTCCCTCTGTACAAACGTCGCTTGTGAATAATAAATTGGAAATGATGTTTAGAACGGTTTAGCGAAGTGAAACGAAATTACGATTAGGTGTTATCGTGCAACGACCGAGGTTACGTGGGCACACAGGTAATTATTCATTACGAATATAATTCAAGGATGCAGGACACGTCATCGAGCAGAGTTACTTTCAATTCGACCTGATTCGACTTCGATTCGTTCCGATCGACCAAACGCGACTCGACTTTTGTGTTTCGCGGCCATCCTAATCCGGAATTAAGCGTTAGTTGCACAGGTGATTTTTAAACAATAGAAAATGTATCACTTAACACCCTTTCCCTCACTCCACGTGGACTGTAAGCACTCGAGATGAGATGATATAATGATTTGCTATCGAAAACTTCTACAATTGGGCATGTGACCCTTAGCTAACGATCTGATCTCGACGATCGCTTCCGTGACACGCGGCCTCTGACATACGTGGCGAAGAAACATACTTGTTCAGGGCGTAATCGATTCTTTCAAAGGAGTTCCGTAATTCTTGCGATGAATTGAATCGCCGGGGAAAAAGGCAGTATTCGGTAACCGATGAAACGAACAACGTGCTCGTTCGTCGATTGCGTCAACGTTACGTTATACTTTCATAATTAAGGCGCGACAAATGTGGAGGCGCCCTGAAGTTGCGCAACGAGAACATAAAGGGAGCGAAAATCTGGACCGGTCGCGGTCCACGAAAGTATCTTGATTATTCTGATAAAATCTAGCTGACAAAAGGAGATAGGTGTTAAGATCATAGATCGAGACGACTCCTGATTACCTTTGTTGTTCGAAAAAACTTTAATTCGGCGTAAAGTTGTTGTTTATCAGCCCGGAGAACGGACTTTCCAAAATCACCTACTTACGGTTCCCCAGAAATGATCGATCCCACACTTTCTACCGAGGAAGAGATCGAGAATCTTTCGTAGACGTGCGTTTCGCGAAATATTCCACCAGAAATCGGCCATAAGTGGCAGGGCGTGTGCGTCACGTTACGAGACGGCGAATTACGTGGCCCGAAAAAGGGAGAACAGAACAAAACCGGACGTTCCCTTCACGATCGGAGCAGATGCAATTTCTCACGTGACGCAACGATTGTTGTTTGCCCCGAAAAGGAGAGGATCGGGTCGTTGATCGACTCTCACCGCCCACGGAACTCGATAAATTGCATTCAATCGCTTCATCGATTAATAGAAGGCGAAAACTTTGAAATGTAAATACAATCGGGTCTCGAAAATGGCGAACGACGTCGATCAATCGTCATGCACTAATTATTTTAATCAATTATTAATTCTGACCCCTTCAGACTCTCCGTCGCTAGAATAATTAACTCTATCTATTACTGTACATCTTTATCTCCGCTTGGCTTTTATTCTACTTTATTTTACTGTATGTATTACTATATTTTATTTATGTATTATATCTTTACTTTCTGTACACACTTTTCTATTGTTCGTACCACCTGTATCGAAGGGCTACAGTTCACCTAACAAATAAATAAAAATATAAATAGAGTAGCCCTTGAATCACGACATATTTCTCAAATTCTGAAGACTCTTTTTTCTAATCGTACCTACACCTTTAAAGATCCCCTGCACGTGCACCTAAATTACTCTCTGGACCCTACAGGCTAAGAAAGAGCTGTGATTTAAAAGCTTTCGTGGGTGGCTACTTAATTTCGGGCGGACATACACGGCTCGACGCGTATTTCGTAATCGTTGCACGGCCATCGGGTTGCGTCACGACGCAGAATCCATTAATCGATGCACCCCGTCGATTTCACCGCGATTACGTCTAATCTACGAGGCGTGGTGAATGAAAAGCTTGGTCGATGAATCGCGAACATTCTCACGGGCGGTTTCGGTTCAGTTTTACTATCGCCGGGCACGCATAATCGACGCAGATGCCATAAGTTGTCGCGAAAGAATGAAAGCTCTCCGTCGTCGAACATAAGGCGCGTTAACTTTTTCCTGTCGATGGAAACGACACGCGTTACGACTGCATCGCGTTATTACAAGTTATCTCAGACGTAATTGAAAAATTTAATTCTGAATGTTTCCCAGTCAAGCCCTAGGCCATTTTCGATTTATCCACCCTTTTACGAGTTTCTTGTTCGAAACTAAATTCCACAAATTCTAAATAAAAATGTTGCAGTAGTTGATTTAATCTGTCCAAGTTGTATAATGTCTTATAAACGAAACAAGCATTTTATTAGACGAAGATAATAATTTTTATGTTTTATGGACAAAGTAGAAATCGATTACGAGGCGCATATTTATTTCTTTGCTCTTAAATACCGTGTATGGAATTTGCACGTTAAATTATGTCACGATCCGCTTCGTTAAATCGGAATTTTAGCTGGATCGTTAATAACAAATTTCACCGATCGACGCGATCTCTTTCGCCGGCATCAGGGAAGCAAACTCGCCTTGCATCCGAATCCTTATCGATCACTGGAATCGCTTCTAGCGCCCGAAAGGTGAAAGTACATTTCACCGTTTGACCTATGAATAATCGCGGAAGATATACTTCCGTTCATTCGCGAACACCGCCCACGCGATACGCTCACCCGGTCTGCGTGTTATCTACTCGTACACTTGGCAATGTCGTTATCGAACCGTGAAAGTCACGGTGCTACCCAATTCCCCGGTTGCACTGATAACACGCGATCCGCGCGATCGAGAAAATTTTGTTTCCTTTTTAACATTTTCCGGTTTTCACTTCCGAGTGCTCGAATATTTAAGCAAGTGAAATATGCACAAAACCACCAAAAATATAATCTACAAAGTTAGTTCCAATTACTAGAATCGTTGCATTGTTTTATCGATAGAAAGTTTCAACCGGAGTTTGCAGTCGAGTACTTTTGAATCCCTTGAGAAACAACCCGTTGACGTAAATCTATTAACTAACGAAGGAAATAGAATTATAATGAATGTTGCAAGAAAATATCACAAATGAACAACGCGTAAGGCAACAAGTAGATAGTTGGATAATAAAGTAGTGAACGTAACATAAGTGGGGACTGCGAGTCCGGTGATTTCAATGCGCGGCAAGAACGTTATCGCCGGGTTCAAAGAATCAAACCTACGACGATCTCGCTAATTCCCTCGACCGAACCGGTCCCTGGATCGTCGTCATAATTTTACGACTTCGGTTCGCGACATTTATCATTTTTTATCTCGATGGGGATCACGCGAAATCGCTGGCGAAATTAAACGAACTGCAATCGAGGCGACGAACAGCGATAAAGCATTCTAAATTGAACTAGATAACTGGTCGGACATTTTCCTTGTTTTTTATCTTCATTTTTTGTGTATAATAATACGGCTCGGAGATTGGCTACTGGGCCCCGAAGGCCATTCACTTTCTATTCTGAAAAGAAAGCCGTTTTTGCCGCTCTTAGGACCTCGTTTGACCCTTGGACCGTATTTGCGAAACGTCCACGCTCTGGCTCTCGCCTTTATCGTTTCGGACTGTGCAACATGTTCGTCCTGATTCGTACGAGAAGAATGCGATGTAAATTTCTATGACGAAACGAAGAAAGCCGCTAGGAGCAAATTGTTGCAAAAGGTGCAGTCAATTTCTCACTCGTCAATCGTTTTCGATTTCGCGTCAAGCTCGTCACCGCGATGAATATTTATAATCGAGATCTTTCTGGGCTTCGGCAAGAATGACCGTCGTTTTGCAACCGCTAGAAAGTGGTCGTTATTGTTTTTATAAGGAATAACTTCTGTCACGGTGAGGCGTGAAGCTTAAAGTTACAATCTAAACACGGAGAATTAAAAATAAGGCGAACTAGACTCTTCAAACCGGAAACAAGAGTTTCGTACACGTTTCACGTAGGAGACTGAACAAAAGGAAAGACAAGGATCATACAGAATGTCGCAATAATCGTAGGAAAGATTATGAAGAGAGCAGACGAGAATAAACAACGCGACACAGATTCGCGAGCTGATTCTCGACGAGGATCAAGGATTTTTAGGATTCCAGTGGACGCAACGACGACGGAAAAAGGCGTGTTTCTTTGCGTTTACGTTAAACCTAGCAGACACGAACTCTGGCGCACATAGTTATACGTTGAACTAGATATTAAACAATAAAAGCCTAAGAATAGAGCTCTAAAGAACATCTGTGGACCGCGAACATTGGCCAAGACCCGTTAGGTGTGTTATGTAAGAAACACATGATCGTAAGTCGCTGTAGAATCGCAAAAAATATCCTCTGCGAATTAAATAGTGTTTGTCGTGTCCGTAAATTAATAATTCAAAAACGAAAAGAGATAACTACGTTTCTTTTTCTTCTAAAGAATGAACGACGATCGGAAAAAGTGGCGTTCTAACGTACGCAATGAAAATGATCCTTCAATTTCTTCTCTCTGCGATAATGTGTTAGTAGATCATCGGATAATTCTACATAATTGGATCAGCGACTCCGTGGCCATGAGTAAAGTCGAACGTTGATCGTGTAAACGATACTCGCGTTTGACCCTTTTGTCGAGGCGATCCAGCAACGTTCGCGATACCGATATTTATTAATATCTTAAGTAAGGTTCATAATAATTTTAGTAGTAAAAGAATTAAATAGATACGATGAAATATGCATGATGCTCACTCGACTCTCCTGCTTATAACTAGCGTGCAATTATGACAAAGAAGATATCGATATAATGAAAGGAATTGTTATAGAGAACTGATTTACGAGATCATTAGTTAAGTGACTTTTTAACAATTGATAATAAATCACACGGATGCTGTATCACATTGCCTATTTATGAGACAATGATCCCTCGATGTTATTAACGATTGGTAATTGATATGTGCCGTTTCTATCACTATTATGCATGCAACCAACTACAAACGTCTCGCCTGTCACACCTCTGG